TCAACACCTGAGGAGAGAGCAGCTTTGCTAAACCYTCGAAGGCTTCGAGCTTGACTAGTGAGAAAGAATATAAAAACAGCACAAAAACAGCAGTGCAGGGTTCTGGGTTTGCCAGAGCCCAAGGCCTTGCCCAGGTAAGGGGCTCGAGGCAGCAGGATGCTCTTCCCCGGCAGCCTGCTCCATAGCTGCTGGGTTGGGTGATACTACAGACCTGGAGTGTGCAAATCCCAGCTTTCCTCTGCCAAATTCCCAAGCAGGAGAGGGCAAACGGCAAGGGGGATGCAAGGCAGAAATGTGCCTTGGTTGGGATAGTGCAGTCCCCAGCCTGCTTACTGGGAGATCCTTCCTGGTTCCTTTTGTTATTCCTACCCCTTTGCCCGTTCTTCTCATGATTGCCTTGGAGGACAAGCTCAAGGGTTGCAGGTGCATGGGGTGGCTGTAATTTGGGGGGGCTGCTGTGCTTCCTTAGTGCCATTGCACTCCTTAGAAAATCCACGTGGGCTGGTAAAAGTCTAGTGTGGAGAAACCTAATTGTTTTTCATGATTAATCTTCAGGTTGCACATAAGAATAACACAATCCACATGATACCCTATAGAGCATAAGTGCRTGCGGAGGTCCCTGTGGTGCTGTATGTGCAGACCTCCGAAGCAGGTTCCTTTTGCCTCTTTTATGTGTTCACGGCAGCTCCATGCCCCATGGCTGTTCCCACCCTGGAAATATGGACCTCGCTCTGGGACGAGAGGAATTCTGCAGGGACGGAGCCCAGATCTTCCTGGCATGGTGTGCCGGATAACAGTGCCAAAGCTGGCCAGCACCAGAGAGCCCRAATCATTAAGCAGAGGCAATAAGGATGCTTGGCTAATTAGAGAAGACCCGGTCCTGGCAGACATAGGGCATATTTATTTTTAAAATCTGTTGCTGACAGTGAGAACATGCCTCTGGCAGGAGATCTGAGCTCCTGAAGATGTGATCCAGTTCAAAAGGGGATTTGCTTCTCTCAAAACAAAACCAGCCCCCGTGTCCCACCTCCTCCGTGCCAAGGACCAGGCATGACCAGCTAGGAGGGAGCTGGATGGGTACGGACTGTTATTTATGCAGAATTTCCACCTCCTTCCTTCCTTCCTTCCAACTCGCCGTGACCCAGACCTGCCGAGTGAGGAGAACGGTTTCCCCAGCCCTGCCAATTCTGGGATAAATAGGTCATCCAAAGTATGCAAAAGCCAGTTCCAAGACTTCCAGCCATCGGAAAGACCTCAGAAGTCTTTGGATGAATAAAGCCCTTAATAATTGCTTTACATACAACAAGGTTTTGAAGTCCCGAGCCTTCCAGGAGCAGTCTTCTATGCACGAATCTGGAGGCAGCAGCACAGCTAATGATCAAGCAAAGCAGCAGTTACAATTTTATTTCACCGCTTTGTTTGTTCAGGTCTTCCAGGGGTGATGGTATCTGTAGTGTGCACAATCACTTAAAAAAAAAAAAGAGGAAAAAATCRCACAAAAATCAGCTGGGGCATCAGGCCTCGGGTAGTGAAAGGTGGGAAATAAAGGAAATGGAATGTCATTAACAAGCGTCAAGTTAGTTATCAACGACTTCCCGAAATTGTTCGTTGCGGCTGTACGTGCAGCCCTGCAGCGTGGCCCGCGGCCAGCTTGGCAGCAGGTATTTCCCTGCTCCCGCAGCTCCCTCCATCCGACCTTCCAGCCGGCTCCATCCCGCTGCGTGCGGCGGGAGGCAGCACAAATGTTGGGTGTGAGAAGTTTGCAAGTTCTGTATCCGCGGGCCGTTTCTTCAACTGCTCCTCTGGCCCTTGATCTTGGCCAAGAGCTTGAGCAAGACTCGGAGGGTCTGGTGATAGGTGAGATAACAGGGACCCAGCAGCTACCTCCCGACCCTGGTAGCATGTGATGCTTAGAGAGGTGATGCAAGGCAGCCGGTTTCTGCATTTCCTATTCTGATGCACAAGGGAAAACAATAAAAATAAAAAAACCTACAGGCCTTAAACTTGTTAATTTTCACGAGTTTCCTGAGAACATTTCAGTCTGTGAATTTTAGCTCTTCTTGCTTTGAGATCTCTGCTTTTTATTTTCAAACGCTTTTTAGGAATTGCTTCTTTGAGGAATACTTTGCAGCCTCTATTCAGTGCTATTTCTACAGTGAAGCCAGCCATGTAAGACAAGTAGTAGCTGACCTGTTGTAGTGAAGTGCGTCCTYTCCTTCATGCTTGGCTTGAACGCGCTGCCATCTGCTCCGCGCCAGCGCTGCGAGCTCCGAGTCCCTCCCAGGGCACAGCAAAATAAAGAGCAGAGCCACGGAGGACAGATGTGCCCACATCAAACATCCTTGCTCCTCCATAGAAAACAAGCCTTCKGTTCCTTCGGAGGGCATCCCTTCCAAAAAATGTCCCTTGTGCCTTGGGGTACAGCAGGTCAGCTGGGCAAACTGGGGCATTTCAAGTTTCCAGAGTAAAATTTTTGCATGTTTTGTTTATTTAAAGAATGAAAATATACTGCGGCAATTGGCTTTTGTGCCAAGTTACAGGGAAAAATAAAATACTTTAAAAGCAGTAAAGAAGCGTGCAGGCATCTGCCCTCCAGCGGCACACTGCTGCCTTCCAGTGCACTGCCCATTGCTTTTCAGGCATTCTCCAGCTCCCTCAGTTAGCAGAGAGGAAATTTTGCACTTGGAGATACCTTTTGCTTTTAATTTAATGGGATATGCTGTGTTATTCCCATTTAAATGGCAGGAAAGTGAAGGTCTCACTTTTTCATCCTGGGAGCATGTTGCTCTTTCACTACAGCGGTGAGGCACATCATCCAAAGGAGAAGATCAGGATGTGCCTTCATTTATCTTTTTTAAAATGTCTCAGATTTGAGATTTTCTTTATTTTTTATTCAAGGAAAAAATTGCGCACTTTTCCAAATAGCAAATTATCTTCTTAAAACTGTCACCTGCAAAAGCACCTTTTGGGAGAGTGGCTGCTTGTGTGCCGTGCCCAGTCATGTCCTTATCTTAGTGCTCGAACAACAAACTTGATGCAAGGGGAGATGAATTCTGCTCGYCTCATTCCTGAACCCGTGTCCAATTCCCCTTTGCTTCTTCAGGTGAGGAATTGCACGGGATCTGCTGCATGCACGGGACGAGCGAGCTGCTTGCACACTCCTCCTTGCAGCTCCTGCAAAGCGAATTTAATGCAGTTTAAGCCGTGCTACAACAAAGCCGAGCTGCAGATCAGAACCACATGTTGTAAGCGCTGCAGGCACCGAGCGAAACCCGATCTGCGGAGGTTTCCCTGAAATCTGCACTTTCTCATTTGGCTCTCATATTAAAGCTGTATTTCAGGGCTGTCTAACCCTCTCGAAAGATGATGAATAACAATAAAAACATTCACTGGAGGACTGTCATCATTTCCAAAGGAAGTGTAATAAATACTTTACGACAGGACTTTTTTCCTTTTTTCTTTTTTTCCCTGTGTACAGCCATAAACTGGTTTTAAGTTACAACTTATTAAGCCTCTAAACAATCAGAGCTCCCCGTGACGCTGCTGCCCTGGCTGGGCTGGGGTCCCCAGGCTGCTTTCCCCTCGCCCCATGTCCCATGGGATCCTGCAAACCGAACTGGGACAGATGATGCTCCATGGGGAGCKGGTGAAATTCAGGAGAAGCCACCAGGCTCTTGGATCCATAGGAGAACACGGGTGGGATGCACCTCTTTGCTTTCAACCCCTATGGCGAGTGGCAAAATGATGAGAATGGGCACAAAATCCAAGGAGAGACCGAAGGGGGCACAAGTCCCTATTTTGCTTTTCTTATTCCTCCTCATGATTATAAAACCTGAATCTGCTCAACTGCAAAGATTAGGAAACTATAAGCTGAACAGTGTTTGTGTGACAGCCCCTAAGCTGCAGCGGCTCCATGGCCATCCACTGCATCCTGCCGGAATAACCAGCCCCACGGCTGCTCCGGTACAAAGTCCCTTCCCTCTGCGGGGCTTTACAAGGGGAAAAAGCGAGTAAAATTCCTACCGATGGGATTCAGGTCTCACTCCACCGTGCCTTTCATTTCACTCTTATTTTGGGATAATAAAGTGGGAAGGGGGCTAGGGATTGAGAGTGCCGCCTTTCCCAGGGTCAGCCTGTTCCGGGTGCAATGGGAGTCTGAAGACAAAGTCTTTTTAATTCCTCTCCCCTACCCCAATGCAACGGATCCTCAAGTGACTCAAACAAGTGTATTTCCACACAAGCGTGTTTCAGGGGCTGGTACAGGTGCTGAAAATATGCACAGGGGGAATACTGCTGGAATTCCAGGAAAGGCAGCGCGGGATTCATTTGGATTTGAGTCACGGGCTACAGAATCAGCCGCTGGCTCGTGACATTGCTCAGGCTCTCCATGCGGTCCCAGCAGACGCTCGTGGACAGGCGTGGAGGAAAATACCAGTTTGTTTATCTTACCTTATCTCTAAGGGCCTTTTATAATCTCAGATTTGGCACTGCAGCCTGAGCAGAGCAAAGCAGCAGCTTAAAAAGCTCCGTCGAGTTTACAGGGCATCCTGCCATCTCCGCACATGCAGAAGAGATGGATATGACTTTGAGGGTGCCTTAATGAAGTGAGATGTTTGGTCTCTCGATGTTCACCTGCCAAAACGATCCAGAAGAGAATTTTGGGCAGGTTTACTAAATTGTGACTAAACAGCATACAGAAAAGGCTTCAAGTTAATGACTTTTATGTAACTTCTCTGCAGAGGAAGGTGCAAGAAGGTTAAAATGTGGATGATTCACCCCTCAGCTAGTGAGTTGAGCAGCTTGGGGAACTAAAGGGATATACATTACTTTAAAATAGAGAGCTTTTTTTCCTAGATGGCCAGCTYTGCTACAGGTGCCATGCATTGGGCAGTGAGAATGGGCCACTCCGTGCCCAGGTGTTCTTGGTTTCTTGGGAATCTCTGATTTGGTGCRTCAGTTCCTTGCACCTTGCTGCACTTCGGCTGTAGCTGCTGTATAACCTYGGATGAGCAATGTTTGATCTTAGTTTCTTTACTGGTGCCAGCTCCCTGCTTCAGTGGCTGCTAGAAGTTCCAGCCCTTGTGCTAATCCCTGTGCTCCTGCTTCCCAACTGCCCCTCTTCAGCTCTGACCACCAGCTGGTCCCTGGTATCACCAGGTAAGGGTTCCCTGCAGCGTTTGCCGGGTTTCTTATAACATTTGCTAAATTTTACTTGTCTAATCCCGAAGTGGTGCCCTTCAGGTGCCTCTAAAGCCAGAGGAAGAAGTAGCCTCTTCAGGAGGTGGCCCACAAGTTGCACTGAGTTTCCTTCTGCTAGGTGCCCTTTTCTCTCCATRGCCAGGTCCAAAGTGGTGGTGAAATTTATTCTTGCTCTGAAGCTAGTGAATGAGATGAATCCCCACTTGGCCTGCCAAAAAATTCCCAAGTAAGCTCCAGTTGTGGCTGCACATGGATCGTTGTCTTCTTTGCTTCTATATCCATGTGGGCCTGGCTGTGATTTCTCCTACACAGAAGCTGGGGATCCAGGGCAGCTTGGTGTATAATTTTGATTCCATCACATCCAATAGCATTTTAAAAAACACTGGGCTCAGCTTGGCTTCCTGGGTGTTTTACCTTGTAAACTTCCTGGGTGTTTTACCTTGGACACCTTGCGATGCTGCATTTAATTGTGAAGCCCATGAGCTTCACTTAGCACTTCAGCTTGCAGAAGACCCGCAACCCAGATCCACCCTTTCCTATTGCTACGGGCTTCTTTCCAGTGCTAAACCAGTTGTTAACTGGGCTCAAACACATCTGAATGATTTGAGAACATTCAAACTGGAACAAAAATAAATGTCTCCAGTTGGTTTTTCCGGCTGCTATGGCAAAGGGGTGAGTGGGATTTTTTTGAGTAGCAAGTGGGGATTTTGCTTGCTAGAGGTATTTGCAGTTCAGGCCTGTCMATGAGAAAAATAACTCGCTGTTGTCCAAAGATACCTTTATGATATCACAGCTAAATTGCTAAAAGCTGCCGGGAGCTCCCGCCGGCTTCGGGACTTGCTTAAACTTTTCCACACACGGGAAGGAGCCAGTGCAGCCTGTGAAACATTTTATTTATTTTCTCCTTTCAAGCCTTTCCAGGCAGACTTTGGTTTGGACTGCTGGCTCTTTTTTTTTTTTTTCTTCTTTTTTTTTCCTTTTTTTTTTATTGCAATTAATGCCACAAACATTTCTCATGAAGCACTCAATGTTATTGGCAGAGGGGCTATTAAAAAGCAAAACAAACCCCAAACCCCAGTGTAACCTGAAACATATTTGATCTAAGCTACTTTATATTAGGGAGGATTTGCACTTTGAGCAGGGAAGAATTTCAGGTGGCAGATCCAGAATATCTAAAAACCTGTATGTAAAATGCCTGAAAACTCCCCTTTGCCCCTTCCCAAAACTGTTAAGGTCCTTAGAGCTTTGCATTACATGCGTGGACGGGTACTTGTATATGCAGCAATTATCCCATACATTGGAGCCTGTCAGCACCCCTACAGCATCCGTATTGGGATGGGTGACTTGAGATCCCAGCACAGATGGACGCTATATCATGTTCTCYGTGTGCTTTTGACTTGCCCTATTGATTTAAATGGAGCTGAATAGCAGATTTATTAGGAATTCACATAATGTTTGTTTACTGAGCTTGAAGAAGCCAAGTTTTGTGCTCACTGAAATGTTATGCATAAATAATTCACACGCATAGAAACTGCTCTTAAGTGTAAAGCTGAGCCCAGGCCAGCACCATGCAAGGATTGCTGGGTGCTCTATTGAGGAAAGGTGAGATGCTGGGAAGATGCTCCAGTCTGAGAAGACTACCATGAAGAAAGACTTGGGAAAGGTCCAGAGAGCCCCTTCTGCTCACAGGGCTTGGGGCAAAGAGTCTGGGAGAAGGGGGGATGACATGGGCCATGTGCTCTGGACTCAGGGGTCCTGCATACCCAGAAGCATCTCCATGACTCCATACTTGCCTGTTGGTCAAATCCTATGAAAAACCAAGAGGTTTTTGCCGTGCAGTGAAGGGGAATGTGCTTTACCTGGAGCAAATAACCGTCTTTTAAGCTGCCTAGTGCTTCAGTCCCATCCTCAGCCAGTTCCACCTAGAGGCAGCCCATGCCAAGGCTTTGAGAGAGATGGTTGGAAGCCAGTGAGTGGTGGCATCATCCACAGGTTCTTCATTCCTTGTCAGTGTCCCCGTGCACCCCAGCCCACGCAGGCATCACAGTGGGAGCCAGTCTCAGAGAGCACCAAGATCCACCTGCCCCACTGGCCAAAGCCATCTTGCTGCAGATGGCAGCAAGAGGTGAGGATGGAAGGACTTGCTGCTGAGACTTTTATAAGTTTATTCACAGAGGAAAAAGAATTTAAAGAATTTTTTTTTTTTTACCAGTAGTTGCTACATGTATTTACCAATTGGTAAATGGAAGCAGCCCGCTTCTTGTTTTTTACATGCATTTATAAAAACGCATTCAGGTTTAACTTTCTCCTTCCTCAGTGGCCAGGTCCAGTACTGTAACAGCCAGCCCTTTTTACCATTTCTCTCTCTTTTGATTCATTTATTTTTTCCCCGCGTTGAGCAGAAAACTGTTTTTCCCATTATGGTTTTCACAAGGCTCCAACTTGCAACACTGGCACCGCTCGGCCGTGTCGCTCTGCAGCTCCCAAATGGCTTTTCCACGTTTGCCAGCCACGTGGTGCTGCACCCATCCCATTTGCAAGCACCAGGCACGAGGGACGCGTCGGGACTCGCCACAGTCTGCCCACCACTGTTTTAAGTGCACCCTGCCTATAGAGGTGAGGCTTCCCTTTGTGCTTAGCATCCCCCAAGCACCCTCATTTCTCAAAATGAGCTAAATATGTCTTGCATTCTTAATTTTTTTTGCRTTTGCTGAAGCTGAGGACTGTTCTGGAGGGTAATTAGTGCATGGTTGAGCAGGACTGCTCAGACGAGCTGCGCGGAGCCAGTCCTGCTCCCTGGTCCCAGGAACGCTCGGATGCAAGCGCRCAGGCATGCGCTTTCAAATTAATTTTCCATGAATACATGTGGCTTTGAAATTCACCCTCCATAAACATTCACGCTGGTAAAACTTGATCGCAGGAATGTCGATGGGAGCTGAATGCAGAGGGCTGTAAAMGGCGCTGGAGGGAATTCATCTGAAAATCCCAAACAGTGCTGCCGTGCAGGGTCCCGCTTAGCCCAGGTGCCTGTTGCCTCTCCATACAGGTCTTGTCTGAACCAGAGCTGCTGTCCTGTGCTCTGGATCTGGGTCATGGACAGTCTGAAAATACATGAGCACCTCATGTTGAGTTCTGGAATAACCTCCTATGCGTGTTGTCTGGAATTTGCAGAGGAAAAGGAGGACTCGGCTTAACGTCCACCTGCTAATTCTGTTTCTTTAAGATGTAAAAGAATGTCTTTTAAAGCACTATGTAATATTCAGCCATTTGGTCTTAGCGTTTCCCTCCCATAACCGTGCAGTTGTGCTGACCAGTGGCTGGATGCAGGTGGGTAGATGCGATGCTGGGGCTACCAAGCGGTTTTCCATCCACCCCAGTAACGACACCAGTGCCCAGAGAGTGCTCAGGGTGCCGSTTATCTCCGGAGCTCTCGGGAGTGCAGCTGGATATTGGGAAAAATCCCGCATTCCGCACTGACCTGTGCCATCTAGCGGCAAAGCGGGGCTGGAGCTGGAGGCAGCGGAGTTGGGGTGCCCTGCTATACATTGACACCCACTGTATAGACCAGGGTCACAGGAGCAATTTGTCTTAGTGTCTGTTTAAGGAGACTGGGTACAGAGGACGCAATAGGATCTTGCGGCGCAGTTCTTCATTCCATCCTTTGTACTGCTCTTTCCTTGCCTGCTTTTCCCATGTGCTCTCCCTGAGGAAATTATCCCAGTGAGTCTGACTCGGCGCAGCGATAGTTGGTGGCCCCTTGCCTGGCCTCAGGGATGCAGAGACAAGGAGACTTCCCGAGCACGGGATGCAGGACAAGTGATTCCAGCCCCTCGGATGCTGAAGCTCCSACAGCTCCGTGCTCGGAGCATCGGCTTTCCCGCAGCAGAGGAGCAGCTCCGGGTGCATTCCTGGCCTTAGGCTGTCCTGAAACCCAAGTGCGAGCTGCACGTCAGCTGAAACAGGTTGATGAGTCTGCGACCAAAAAAAGAACCCCAAACAACCCAGCCCATTAAGCTGTATATTTACGCTGCTATTTCTAAACTAATGCTCTCTGCTATTTACCAAGCCGAAACCACAAGATTTTACCAAGTGCCTTAGGATCCAAGATGCGTTTTTGCAACTCCAAGTCAGTGGAAACTTTGCAGTTTATTTTTCCCTTTGGAAAAGAACCAGTTCCTATTTTTATCCCAGCCAAAGCCCACAGCGTCACCCATCAGGCTGCTGCAAGCAAACGCTTCTCCCATCCTTTGCACCCAAAGTGCCAGGCTTCCCAAAACTCAAACAGAGAGAAATTTTGACTCTGTGACCCCAATTCTTGGTTCTAAAATAGAAAAGGGAACTGTCGTGGCAGAAATACAGCCATGTGTCAGGAAAGAAACCAGGGCAAGCTATTAAAGCACGTTTAATATAGAGCTGCTGGATACAGACTGATGTTTCTTAGAGGTCTGGCTGGGAGCGGGCGGGTTATCCAGTGTTGTCTGCTCCGTGTTTTTATACTTCCCTCCAAAGCAGGCGGATCTGGCCGTTCCCAGGGGCAGGATGAGCCCGTCATCCCCTATGGATCTTACAGGGCTCTTCTCAACGGCTCCGGGCTGGAAAGTGAATCACAAAAAGATTTTGCAAGATTTTTCTCAGCAGCCTGGAAGGTTTTTGCTAACAGAAGCTCCCTTCTCCTTCCAAGAACAGGGTTTCAGAAGTCATCACATTTTTCAGGGTTTGCACAAAAGTAGATGCTGGGCTTAACCTCACCTGCCCTGTGCACCAGGCAAMCCCCAAAGCTCAGCAAAAAGCTTACCAGGGTCCAGGGGTTAGTCAAAACCATTGTAGAAACCTGTGCTAAGATCCTGGAGAGCTTCGTGCTGCGGTTGGGCTCCCGTTGCTATGATCTGATAGAGGCTTTTTATACTCCAGAAGTTACAGTTCTTCAGGAAACCTTCCTTTTCCCTGCTGGCCATGGCTTTCTGGTGTACCCAGTAGGACTCATCTGACAAGGACCGTGATGGAGCAGCTGCAAACTTGGAGCTATTTTCAAGCAACTACAAGTTAAATTTTATGCGTTTTTTGGTTTTAAAGCTTAGCGTATTTTTTGGCCACTGTTTTCCATGGCTTAATTGGCTCACTTGAATGAACGGCGCTTGGTGTGGCCCTAGCCCTGATGCTGCAGGGAGATGCTGCTGATGGGCCGGCAGCCACAATTACTGGAATTCCTCCCTACCTCCTGCAAAATAAAAAATGGACCAAAATGTCAGAAGTTTTCACACCCAAGCAGGAGCTTGCAAAGAGTCAACACTTCTGCAGGTTCCAAACCCWCTTAAATAGTGATTTAACACTAAAAAAAGAGGTCTTTGCTGCATAAATGTTCACCCTTTTGGTTAAATATTCGAGTTATTCTAATTGTACAGGCTGGAAGCCAGGCTCTCGGTGTCTGTTTTCCATAGTTTATCTCTTGGTTGGGAGGTGCTGGCCAGCCTGTTTTCCGCATGTTGATGGATTACAAAGATTTTGGGATGATAACAGGGAGCGTTTGGGTTTGAGCTGCTGTGGGTGCTGGCAGCACGTGTGGGTGACAGCTGGAGAAATGAGCTTTTCACACCTCTTTTTGGGAGATGCTCTACACTTGCTGCGTTCATGCCTCCATATAAAAGTATATATCATATATATGACTTAATACAACCCTTTGTCTTTTTGCAATGGGCCAGAGCCCTTTGGGGACGTGTCTTTCCTTGCATGAATGCAGCATGAGCTGTTCAGAGRGTCCTTCTTGGATCATTTGAGGGATCCCACTTTCTTGCTCTGCCCTGCTGCTCTGGGAAGCTGCAGCCCAGATCTTCTCAACCTTGGCAACCCTACTGGGAATAAAGTGGGAAAGCCTATCCGTAATTTGCCCCAAATTCTGAGGTCCTAGCAACCATGTCACTGCAAGTGTTGGGCCATACATCTCTAGGACTTCATTAGGCTGTCAGCAGTCTGAGGTTGGACACCTTGGCCGTGGTTCTCCTGACCTTCCTGGCTGGTCCAGGCAGCCCTGCAGGTGAGTTTGCCTTTGCAGGGGGCTCTGCACAACCTGTGTTAATAAATCTGAGGGGAATCACCCCAAAATCTAAGGGAGGACCCCCGATTATGGAGTATGGATCTGAGGATGCCCTTTCCTATATGCTGGCATGTATGGGACCAGATTCTGCTCTTGCACTGAGTGGCCACCAGTGACAAATCCAATGTGACACCTCTGGGCTGGTGTCCCAGCAGGAGCAGCGGCCCCAGTGCGGGCGAGGGGGCAGCCCTGCCTGGCAAGGAGCTCCCTGCAAGGAGAGAATATCAAAATATGTGATTTTTATCCTTGGTGCTGGGTTGCAGACAATGTCTCTCCCCAGCATATAGAATTTGCGACTGTGGTCGCTGCAGCTATAAATGTAACACCCCTGTATTTTCATTAGGTTTGAGGACAAATATGTTGACTGAAACCTTCTCTGTTACATTAATGGCTTTAAAGAGATGGAGGCAGCAGCCCCAGAGAAGCTCGCGGAGGAGAGCCTGGTGAGGCGCTCGCTTGGTTGTGGGAGCTGGGGACACTGGTGTCCCTTGGCACACGCTGTGTGCAGGGTCCACCACAGTCCATCACTGGGAGATGCAGCCCCAGCTGGTTCTCACTGGTGGGTGCAAAGCCTGGATAGCCCTGGGTTTGCTATTTCTTGAGCATTTCTTGCAAATGCTCATAACCTGATAAGCAGCTTGGAAAAAAAAAGAACTCTCTAGAAATTATATTTTATGCTCTTCCTCCCWTTTATTAATATAATAAGTCCTTTTTTCAGTATGTTCTGATGGGATCTTATGTGTTTCTTTTCTGCTGTTGATACACAGGTACAGAGAAATGTGCCTTGCACTTAGGAAGAAGCCCTGCTCATTGCTACATTGCACACAGAGAAAAAAGCAAAGAGAAATGCTAAATTAACCACCTCCTAAAGAAAGACCTAACGATGTGCAGCACCTTGCCATACACATGGGAAAGCCGCTTTTCCCCCGTGGCTGGGACAAATTCCCAGCAGAGCATCCTGCTGGTGCTGTTAGCCTGCAGCAAAGCGTTTTGTGGCAGGTAGCAACTCGCGCCGGCGCTGCAAGCAAACAAAGAGCAAATTCACGGCCGCGCTCCCGGCGCACATGAGGTCATTTTCTGTTGGAGCTCGGCTCATTAGGCCCGTGGCCTTGTTGATCCAGCTCGAAGTGAGGGTGACAAGTGTGACCGGGCTGCTGAATGGGGGCGGCCCGCGCGGAGCGGCCGCATTGTCCTTYGCTGGGAACGGCACCATTAATTACGGCGGGCGCTCGAGCCGCGTTCTCCAGCCGCGTGTGTCGCCGAGGGCGCTTCTGCTTCAGAACCGCCGGGTTTTGACAGCCGAGTGTTTAACCAACACAGGGGCAGTTTGTCGGGAACAATGGGGGAGAGGTCCAGGTCGCAGGACTTCATTAGGTAACTTCCTTGGATGGGGAAGGGCTGGACCTGGCCGCCTTGCAGGTCGCCCCTCAGCGCCCACCTCCCCAGTGCTCCGTGTCACCGGCACTCGCGCGGCCCCGTGGGGCGCCCGGCCCAGGGGACCAGAGCTCCCTGCGGCCCGTGCAGAAAAATGCAAAAGCAAACGAGCAAAAAAACCCYGTAGGACTGCAGGATGCAAAGCGCTCCGTTGCATCAGTTTTGTTTTGCAAGGGGTTGGGTTTGCATTGGCTTTGGCGGTTGCACCCAAAACGCACCGAACTGTGCGGTTTGCACCAACCTCTCTGTGCAGAGGGGAGG